CTCTGCGTTCTAAATTTAGGATTTTAAAGTCCCCAATGACCCTTTAGTTGCTCACCTACATAAATTCTGCACTAAAAACCGACTTGCAGAAATCCCCTTATATGTGAGCAGATGTGATCTCAGGCAGGGAAATGGCAATCTGGTAATTTCGAGTGAACGGGATTAGAGTTAAAAAGGAACAAAAGGAGAATGAGATGTGAAGCAGATTGCTCCAAAATCAGAGACCTGGAATGAAGATTGTGTTGCTGGATGCCAATTTGATGAATGAGAAAAATTGACTGGGGCTTGAGACCCCCTGAGAGATGGGAATCAATTCAGTTACTCCATGCCAGGAGACTGATAGCAACAAATGGCGGCCAGATGCTGAAGGCTCCTCCCTCAAATTAAATCCAGGGAAAAGCAAGAACATCTTGGCCACCATCCCATTGATCAGTCTCCTACCAGAAATTCAGATGGCTAACCATCATTTCTGATTTTTAGAAAAAATCTAAAAAGCTAACTAAAGAGCATGTAGTTATACCCCCCCACCCTTTTTAGTAAACCTATTGCCATTGTTCTGTCTGTGGTAAAAATTTACAAAATATTTTGAAAGTTTTGTGGGGTTTTTTGTGTGTTATGATCAGTTCGTTTGTTTTTATTGTGGGAACCAACCAACCAATGAAATTAAATCTATAGGAGTTGATGTAACACAGTCCTGATAGGTGCCAGTCCATGAAATTCCTAAACATTGATCAAAGGAAATTTTCTTACATTAAATGTTAATTAGTTAATTCCACTGAATTGGGCTTGACATCTGATGGCTGCTTCAACAAATTTTCATCACCTCAATCGAGTTCCAGCACAGTTCTGTAGCTCTTCCAAGGAGAATAAGGTAATCTCTTTGAAACTATCTTTGATTTGATTTGCCATCTACTATCTCTGTCAATCTTGTGAGGCAAAATTGTTTTTTTCCTAGACCATCATTGGCTTACCTCGCATGGCCAAAACAGTGAAATGGGATGCTGTTATGGTATATGGCCAGATCTGTTATTTCTAACTGGCACAACTATCCATAATAATGGACATGCACTTTTATTGATGGTGATGAAAAATTAGTGCATCTGTGTAGAGACACCCCAAAACAGGAAGCTTGTGTCCTAATTGATGACTGTTAGACAGACATCTTAGCTAAATGTTTCCATTTCTGCTGTACAGTAAATGTTGAACAGTTAAAGAATTACTAGCAAGAAGATACATATTTTTGTGAAAGTCACTGTTTAAGCTTCTGCTCAATTAATTCAGTTAAGAAGAGATATGCATTTCCTCTATTAATGAAGGGAGGATGTGTCTAGAGAGCAGGGGTGTCAAACTCAAGGCCCGTAGGCCGCATCTGGCCTGCGATGTGGTTGGATCCAGCCCGTGGGGCCATCCTGGTCTACCCAATGCGAAGAGGAAAGATTAGGCCAGCGTGGCTTCGGCCCGGTCTACCCAATGTGAAGAGAAAACATGCCAGCAGTTTGGGGAGTGGTGTCAAGCTGGCCATGCCCACCCAGTTGGCCGTCCAATGTCAGTCACAACCCTGATGTGGCCCTCAATGAAATTGATTTTGTACCCCTGGCCTAGAGGTTTACAAGAACATAACAATTTCTTATTTAATTTTCTAAACTCCAACAGTGGTTTCACTTTTACTTTTTTATTTTGTCTTTCCATCATCAATCCCCAAACTGCAGTTCTGAAGTCAATGTGGGAAATCTACAGAGTGGTATTTCTCAACCTTGGCCTCTTTCAGATATGTAGACTTCAATTCCCAGAATTCCTCAGCTCCCTCCCTAGCTAGATTCCCCAACTGAAGTCCAGATAACTGATATAGGCCAAGATTGAGAGACATTGCTATAGACGCAGAACTTAAGTGACATTTCTCAGGCTTTGACATAATTCTAGGAGTCTTATTTACAGGTACTGTACTCCTTGATCTACGACAAGTCACTTAGTCACTTCAAAGTTATGACGGACCCCCAGTTACAACATTACAACCCAGTTCTGAAGGCTAACCCCATATGGTCCCATGGCCACATTTTGTATGCTTGGCAATTGGACTGCATTTATGGTCATTTGCATCCTCCTGCAGTCATGTGACCATGATTTATAACATTTTTAACAAAATTCAGTATTTACTTCTGGTTTCTGGCAAAACAACACAACAATGGGTTGGTTTAACACTTGTAGCATTTGCTTAATGTCCACAGCAATTACTTAATGGCCACTGCAAAAAAGGTTATAAAATCCAGGCCTTCATTGGATGATCTGCTTTATGACTGTAGCAACTTATGGTCATAAGTGGCAGGCTTATGAAAAGTTTGCTCTAGTGGTTAAGGCACTGAAAATGTTGGTCTAGTGGTTAAGGCACATTTAAAGGGAGAACATATTTACTGTTATCTTCTTTTGTCATTTTTATTTCTACTGTATTTTGGTTTTCTGTTCTTGCTGAAAGCTTCTAGATAAAGATCAATACCTTTCATCCTATGAACGGGCAACTTTTTAATCATTTGAACATTTGTTGAACTGAGGAAGTATAAAAAGAGACAGTAACAACTTATGGCAAAATGAAGATAACCTCTTACTCCATGAATGTTTATAATCTAAAAATCTAATTTTTTAGGTAAAACAATTTTTAAACTTGGAATAAAAGACTTCCCAACAATAGCTCTTATATGTGTTACTGCACTTCCTCCAGAATTTGTTAAGTCTACCCTGCTACATTTGGGGGTCCTTTTTCTCCAAAATCCCTCTGCTGACATCATTGCTCCTCCCCCAGTCCTACTAGTATCCGTTATTTAGACTTGAGAAATAAGAGGCAATCCTATTCAGCTTTTTTTAATGCTAAAGTACAAGGAAACAGAACATATACTCCAAACCAGGGGTCGTCAAATTTTGGACCTCAGGGACCACCAAATTCATAATTTTAAATCCCGCAGACCAGAGACCCTGGGAAAATCCCACCCCGTTTTCCTACCGATTGATCATTCTTTATTTGGGATCACATCTCAGCTCCGTTCTCAGTGGGAGAGAGGGAGGGAGGGAGGGAGAGAGAGAGTGTGTGTGAGTGAGTTTTGGCTTCATGCAAGGAAAGCAGCAGAAGTCTTTCTTTCTATCCCCCCAAACTCCGCCAGAAATGAATCTTTGTGAGACTTGTTGTGCCGGTGCAGCCTCTTGGAGCAGGATGCCTTGCAGGGTCCCAAAGACTCATTTCTGGCGGAGTTTGGACAGAGAAAAAAAAAACTTTTGCTGCTTTGCTTGCGTGCAGCCAAAAGCAGAAGAAGAAAGAAGTGGAAAGAAGCAGCCCGGTGGCCAGGCCAGGCATTCTCCCCCTGCCCTTTCCTCCCTCCCCTCACTACCTTGTGTTGTTTGCAATGCAAGCGACGCAAGCCTTATGTTCCCACAGGCCATGTGGGTGGCACAGCCTTGTGTTCCCACACAGCCTGGATTAATTGCTTTGGGGGGTGCTTTGGGAGTGACATTTCTCTGCGGACAACCAAAATTTTCTCACGGACCACTAATTGTCCCTGGCCCACTGGTTGGCGACCATTGCTCCAAACCAAACCAAAGCAAACCAAACAAAACCAACCGATTACAGAGCTAAATCTTGGTAAGCATCCATCTGAATTAAGTTGTGAAAGAAATCATCATTCGCTTTAGTTCACTCCTCTCACATCTTTTAAAGCAAAAATGTTTTGTAGCTTTCAAAATGGCAAAAATTAAACATTATTGTTTTTCACAACTGAACTTTTGCCATTTTTAAAATAAAAGTACAGAGTTTAAAATGACAATTCCTTTTCCAATTTCTTGGAAGAAAACACCACTATTTTCAAATGACTAAAACAATTACAATTATAATAATTTGTTTAGAAAAACTAACATTTTAATACTGATACACCAAATAAGATATTAAATAATCTGCCAATATATTTAGGGATTCCAAATAATGTTGACAGATAACATTGAATAATGTTGAATGGCCAACATAATGAACTATTATCCTTCTATTATCACTGAAATCTGTCTGTCTGTCTATCTATCTGTCTGTTTGTCTCTATCATCTATCTATCATCGTCTATCTATCATCGCCTCTCTCTCTCTTTCTCTCTCTCTCTCTATCTATCTATCTATCTATCTATCTATCTATCTATCTATCTATCTATCACCATCTGTTTATCTATCTGTCTATCTATCTACCTATCTATCATCTATCTATCTATCATCTATCTATCTATCTATCTATCTATCTATCTATCTATCTATCTATCCATCCATCCATCCATCATCTATCTATTCCAAATAATGTTGACAGATAACATTGCATAATGTTGAATGGCCAACATAATGAACTATTATCCTTCTATTATCAATGAAATCTGTCTGTCTGTCTATCTATCTATCTTCTATCTATCTATCATTGTCTGTCTATTTATCATCTATTATTGTCTATCTATCTATCTATCTATCTATCTATCTATCTATCTATCTATCTATCTATCTATCATCTATCTATCTATCTAGCCATCTATCTAATCTATCATATCTACCAATACCAATAAGAAATTCTGAGTTCAGTTGGGTTTTCATTGCAAGGTTAATGGGCTGATTTAAGATTTAAAAATCAAATAAAGATTGAATGTATCACAACTGCAAACCATACTTATCCTTTGTGATCTTCAAGTTCACTGTACAGGAAGACTGGATCTGAAGGATCTCTTCAGTTAGAGCAGTCTTTCTAGTAAACATATTTATATTTGTCAAGATCTTTTGATTCTGCCAGATTTTTTGTACTGCACAAAAGTAGTTGCTACTTGAACAGAGGGTAATTTTTGAAATATGTGATCTCTCAGGACCAAATTCAGATCTGAAGGAAGCAAGCGTTTATTTCAACTGACAGCCATTTCCCCTGACAGCTGCATACACTATCAAAAGATCAGACATTAGTGCTCAGAATTTACATCGCATAGACCAAAGAATATACTTGCCAGACAAGAATAGGAATCATTAAGTCTGTGGTCCAAAGTGAGGCGCTGAAGCATCTCAAAAAGTGCAGCGTGGTCAAAATTACAGGGATTGGAAGAGATAAATTCATCCATGCCATGTTTTTGAGCTCTATCTGCATCTGTTCATTTATACATATAGAGAAAGACACAATTTAGAAAAAACATTGTGTTTGACATACCAAAGATATAACATGAAGCATGAGAACCAAGTTGCTTTGTAGCAATTATTTGAATTTCAGGCTCACAAGCCTTAATTAGATATATCCTTCAACTTCCATTGTCAACTTGCAACACTTATGGAATGGCTTATATTGCCAAAGGTACTAGAATCATAATCTTATTTTCCAATTACTGGATTGCGTTTATTTCACATTTTGACCAAATATCAAGAAAGTTATTAATATTAAATTTTCTGCTTAAAAAACCCCCACCTCTAATCCAAACTTATTGTCCATAGAATTGATGTTGGGATTCCTACATCCCACAAATTCCTACTTTTTCATTTCTAAATAACGAGTAGAACCTGTTGTAGATCCATTCTGGGTCAGTTACCGGGACTAGAGGTTTAGTCTTAAGACTTGTGCTGGAATCCATCCTCAGGAACTGTTCTCTAGTTGAGTGTGTGCTTTGGGCTCTTCTGTGCATGCTATTTATATGGTGCCTGGTTGTGTGTGGCTTTAGTAGAACCTTTAGATGTTAATTATATTTTCTTAAATTTAATATATTTGACTAAACATGGATCCATTTCAGTTTTAGGGAATCAGATAGCATTTGTTAACTCTTAATTAACTGTTAAATATCTCAAAGGTGGTTTTTTTTCAAGAGGCAGCTGGGCTTTCTGGTTTTTCTTTGAAGACACAGATAAACGTCCAGGTGACCTTAACGGCCCTCTAAAAGGCTGCAAATGATCAGCTGTCTGCAAGGAATATAAATCCTTCCATTCCCCACCATCAAGTTAGAGCTGAAGAAGCTTCTTGGATGAGAAGCGAAATGTCTTCAAAGAAAAACCAGAAAGTCCAGTTGCCTCTTGAAAAAGCATCCTTGGGATAGCCATGACCTGGATGACTGAGAATCTCCATAGACATTTAACTGTTAAATAGTTACCTGTTAATAACCCAAACCCTATCCCAAGCTGCAGTCAAAGCCACACTTTTCTTCACTTCTTTTAGGAGTCAAGCTTTACTCTTTTCTTGGAAAAAAAAACCAGCAAGGAAGGGTATTCCTCTAAAAGTATGGAAGTGTAATGGCAGCACAAAAATTATTTTTCAATAAGATTAACAATTGCAATGTATACATTGAATGATTGTAGAAGTTGAATACTGATTTCTGCTTCTTTTTTGGAAGAAAAAAAAACCCAATGTAGAACTGGGTGCAGTTTAAGACTATTGGGTATTAAGTCAAGTATCACTTGATGGCACTTAGTTTTGGAGTTTAAACTCTGGTTTATGAGAATTTCTGGGAGTTGAAGTCCACCCATTTTAAAGTTGTGATATTGAGAAACAATGATCTAAATTATTACTCTACAAAAATTAATTTAAACAGTAAATAGTTCAGGCAAGAACGTGGTTTCCAAGAGATGTTCCAGTCCTGATTCAAACGTTTTATTAAGTTACAAGGGAGGAAATCCAAAATTTTCCCCATTGACTCTGCTACTAGAGATCTTGTGTGTGTGTTTTAAATCCTTAATAAATAAAGCAGGAATTAAATCCCCACTTTTTAAAATCAGTCTTCTAGAGTCTTAAGAGCAGTAGTCGAGCTGAAAAGCATCATGACACCTAACATCAAAGATCTAATGTCCCTTGGGAATGGCTTTCATATCAAAATCACAATAACATCAAAAATGAAATTCCGGATTTCAAAGAGCAAGTGGAGAACTGATAGAGTTTCTTAATCAGAAATATTGTCCATTTATGACTTGCTTTGAGAATGCCTGTGTGTCACATAACTGTATTCAAGATTGCAAAGAGCTTTTTAAAAGAGAAAGAAAATGAATAATCTTTATACTACATAAATAAAGTACCAAAACCTACCTGGCTTTCTAAAAAGATCACAAATACAAAGAATAAAACCTGAGCTGCTAGAGTCAACCATAATATTTCTTGGATAATGAATCATTTGAATTGAAACTTATGGTTGATCCTGTGCATGATTAAAAGAAGTCAAAAGCTGAGAGGAATGAAACTTGTAATATTGTACGTCTTTTATCATAGTATCATTTCACTGACTTTGTTCTTTACAAAGTATTTTGATCGTACAGCTTTTTTAAAAAAATTATAGATCAATTCCTGGTTTCATATTTATAGTGTATATTTATAGTGGAATATTTAGCTGGATGCTATCAATAGATTTTTATATAAAAGAGGAATGGATCCCCATGTAGGCATAGATCAGGGCTATCAAACTCCTGGCCCACGGGCCGGATGCATCACATGCTGGCCACACCAACACCTGGTTTAGTGAAGGGGAAAAAAAGTCCCTATACATCACATGACGCCTCCATGACAATTGAGTTTGACACCCTGGAACCTCCATGCACAGAAGCCCCAGTGACATCACATCTATCATGATGTCATCATGCAATTATCATTAATTTGTCAGTTCTACCACCCACCTCTGGATTCCTTTGTATTTATACAATTTAAACACCAATAATGAGAAGCAAAACATCCTGGAAATGTAGAATTTAGACACTGGGTGTGTGTCTCCGCGTGTGTGTGTGTGTAAGATTTCAGCCTAAATTATCTTGGCTTAATAGAATTGCAGATCAGGATGCAAATTTACTCTCCTTTCAAACGCAATCACTTCAGTATGATCCATTATAACCTTGGGGTTCCAACTACAGTGGTCTCTTCAACAACCAATCAGATGGTTTCTATCTGTTTTGACAAACGATATCCTATCCCCCATGTCCCTCTGGGACAACATCAATTGAATTAATACAATGCACTAATAAGACTCTGCGCTGCTCCCCTAACAATCTGTCTTCCAAATTCAAGCCCTAAATACATAAAAAAAATTGGCTTTGTAGCTTTAATAAGCTGCATCAAGCTTTTTTATTATTATTTTTTTTAATATATTTTGAAGTCTGTAGTGTTCAAATTTCCCTGAGAAGACTGCAAGCTGACAAATTGGCTGGAGGCCTTCTTTTGCCAGTTATGTTCAGATGTATTTCATGACTTTTTCAATTATGAGACATGGTGTCTTGACAAGTCTGATTCCTTAATAAGGAAGTTGGAGTTAATGGGTTATGAATTTAAAGGGCTCCCTCCTTCTCCAAGTGGAAAGAATTATGACCTTAGAGGTATCACACTTCTTGAACTATGCTTTCCTTTTAATTATTCTGCCTCTTTTAGAACTCATTAAAATAAATGAAGTGTTTGACATGTTTTTTTTATATAATAAAGAAAAAAGCATATACAAGACCCTTTATCACCACATATGGAATGGAGGGGTATATTTGGCTTAAAGTATATGTAGAGTCACATGATCCTTTTCCTTTTGGCAGTAAAAACAGGACTTAAGACTGGGATCAATGCAAGGAATAGCTCAATTTCCTAAAGCTAAAAAGACCTGGCCATGTAATACTTATGCATGTCCCTTAACCCAATCTATTCCATCAAAATAAAAAACAAATGAGATATGCTGGTTATTTTAGACTCACTGGTTCTGTCTTCCTTTAGAAGAGCCAAAGGATTACTTACAACCTGGCTAATAAGCAAAGCTGAGGTTCTGCCTGAAATAATTCTCTGCTATTTCTATACTTTGTCACTTGTGCGTGTGTCTTGATGACCTAGATTAGTGCCACCATGCCTTGGCTCTAGAATTGATCTTAACTAGCCTTAAGGTCCTGGCTTCAGGCAAAAATTAGACAAGCACCATATTATGTGGCAACACAGCAGTAAATTGATGCAGTCTAAGTCAAAACTAAACAAACCATAATCTGGATGAGTATGTATGTGGCTGTGAATTTAACCATTTTGAAAATGTTGATACTTGGAAAATATGAGCTCCTCTATTGGAGAAAGAATTGATATGGAATGCTTTCCCATACAGGGACTTCAGAAGATCTTTGATGACATAGAAAAGTGGATGTTCTAGGTTTGTAACTGATCATATCCCCCTAATTCTTTAAACTTCTATGTATAACTAGAACTCCCTCTTCTATAGGGAGTTCTAGTTATGCATTAAAAGTCTATAGTTATTCCATGGAATATCTCTAGGTTATTCCGTGTCCATTCCAGAATGATTCACTGCAGATGCAGTTCTAATCATGTGATACATTATTTGTTTACAGAAATAATAATGCAGATTCATGTGTCCTTCCATGCTTTCCCACTATCTTGATTTCTTTGTCAAATTATTTCATAGAATCATGCAGTCTAGATCTGCTATTTATGTTCTTGGATGTATGCAATATTTTAGCATGTGATGATTCTCTTCATGTATACTGGCCAATATAGCTAGTATATTGTGAGAAATGTGAAGGAGCAAGTAACTTCATAATCAGATATTATGAAATAGCTTACACAGGGCAAGGGATATGAGTGGGTTATCAAAGCATCCTTCCTGAATTGCAGTAGATGCAAGTCCCAGATTTCTGGCCATAACCTTAGCATTCTCCATGTCACCAGTGTTTGAAACACCATGGTAATATCTGCAGAAGTGTCAGGGAATTCATATACCAGCACTGGGATTGTGACTGCTTTATATTCCAGTTGCAGCATATTCATGGGAATGAGTTCAATGTGCAAGTTCTGAGATGGTGGGACATGTCCATTGTGTGTATGTGTGTGTACATCTACATCTACATTCATACCCACTTCTACATCTATATCTACATCTACTGCAGGGGTGTCATCATGGTGGCATCACATGATGTATCGGGGCTTTCCCCCCCTTCACTAAACCGGGCAGGGGTGTGGCCAGCACATGATGCATCCAGCCCATGGACTCCGAGTTTGACACCCCTGATCTTCTGTATCTCTACACTATCTATCTATAGTATTTCTCTCTCTCTCTCTCTCTCTCTCTCCCATATCTACCCTTATCCCTGTCATCTATGTCAATATGTCTCTATCTAATCTATATAATCTCTCCCTCCCTCTCTTTCCCTTCTTCA